GAAACGACAGGGTCCTCTGTTTTTGAAATATGTCCTCACAATGTATCAGATAAAGACTTTCGAAATTAAACTAAATGTACATGGATGAATGGTAAAACCTCTCGAACACGCTCAGAGAAATCATGCAAACAATATTATCATGACCGAAACCATAAGAGATGTCCAGAAGGGACGAGGTTATTTTTGGCCACCTCCGAATAGACCACACCCTCATGACAGACGACCACCTCATGGTTAACGAGGACCCATTAGCATTACATACTTGCAGAACACTATCATTATGGTCAACCAAATACTCCTCAAATGCTGAAAGTTCAATAAAATACGGATCAAGCATGCATTTCCGGGTACCCTATATTATAGGCATACGAGATACTTCCATCCACTACCGAGACACCTTGCATGATATTAATGAATTGTATTAACGAAACTGAACGTCATTATCTAATTTTATGATACTACCTAGATATACCCAATAATGCCAATAATACAATGTGCAAATGTGATATATTAGTAGTTTAAATAATTAGTCTAAAGAAACGTAATGTAAATAATGTAACGTTTGATGTCGTAAAAAATTAATAATAAAAAACAATTATAACTGTGGAAGTTAATATTAATATAGTTATACAGTAAAAATGAAAAATATATTAATATTATCGTATTATAAAAATCAGAGATTTAAGATAATTATTATATTTAAATCATAAGCAATATTATAAATTGTTGATCATTCATTTGCTAAAGGGACGTGGGAACAATCTCTTGATCGAGAGCACAAATCATTAAAAAGTAATTGCTTTATATTTTACTCAGTCGTGGAACATTTATTTGATTTTTCGGAAGGGAGGGATGGTGTTGGGAGATTGGAGACTAAAACATTATTTACATAACGTTTTCTAACAAACCAAGAAAACGTTAAAAGTAATATTTGTGTTTTTCATAATTTATTTTATTGGAAAATCAATATTCTTTATGGGAAAACAAATTTTATTATTTTAAATTGTATTATTATAGAATGTTTCTTATAAATAAGCGCTGTTTTATTATTTTATAAAATATATTTTGAACATACATAAAATTATTATAGTTTTAATATAATATTAATAATAAAATATAAAGTTTATATATAACGATTAAATACTGATAAGTGTAATGGTAAATAGTAAATCATAACACATATGACCATCTTTCAAGGCATATTTCTTTCTGCTTTATGACACACAAACAGTCGAGTTTAAGTGTAAAATATAAAAAAAAAGCTTTTATGGCTCTTCAAATTAACAAAAATAAATTTCAACACTTCAATATTGTAATAATAATATGTTTAAACAGTAAAATATACATTGTTATTGGCTATAGGTTTATGTCTATAAATAGGTATAAATCAATTAATGTTTACCTAGATTTTTAAAGATGAGATTTTGATAAGACATTTTACAATTATTAGAGTTACTTAAGAAGAAAAGACACATAGGAACTTAAGAATAATATGTATTGTTATATTTAAAAATTGAAAATGTTGAACATTGTTATGAGACAATATTGGGTAAAAATGTATGACAAACATTAGTTATGACTCATGAATAACGTACTATTAATTAATTTATTATTAAATTTAAGTTTTAATAAATTGTGTGTTTCAATCACTCTTAAAATTATTTTTTAAAATTATGTCAATACGGTAATTTTGTATGTACTTTATGTAAAATCATCGTTACTTATCGTTAGCTACATAAATGACTTGCCAATAAGTACGATGGATAAGTTGATTCCGAGCATGATAGACTCAATTTATCTGTCGTAATGTTAAAAATCCTTATTAGTTAACAACGAATCTTATATTTTACAGGACGCCATACTAACATGCAGCCATCAGTATCGCCATCTATACATCACCGAGGTTTGTAAGTAGTTTATTTTATTATAAGGAATACGGTAGGTTGAATACATTTCTGCCAAACATTGCATCCGGCATTTAAAAATTTAATTTTACGAATAATAGATATGTACTATAATATACCTTTAAAGTTTATAGGTAGGCAATAATGTACGATAAAAGTTTCAAGTATAAGTACCCATGAATAATATTTTTTAATCACAAGTTACAATATTATTACTAAAATCATTATTCTCCGCTTGAATACATAAAAAAATTCATCCATATTTGAACTTACAACGTCTATAAAAAAGTTTGTGTTTTTATATTTTTTTGGATTCTTTAGTTACAACAATATGAATTAATTACGAAGAAATTTCGTATTGAATTTTCAAACCTTCGTTAAAAAATTCAAAATTTCAAAATTTCTCGAATTTGACGAATATTGTCAACATTTGAAATTCAAATTCTCATGAAAAATTGTGCTTACGTATATCTTTTAAATTTTTAAACGACTATATAATAACAAGTTGTATAAGGACTATTTATTTACATTTTCCAGTTTTTACCAATCAAAATTATTCTTATCGACATTTATAAAAAAATTAAAAATGTCTATACATATACATTGCTCAAAAAGAATCAATATATTTATTAAATTATTCGAGGGCTATTCATTTTTGAGTTACACAAAAAAAAAACTAAATTGATTCTGTTGAAAACTGTTTTACCCGATTATTTTGTAAAATACTGTGACTTTATATTCTTACTTCTGACTCAAAAAGATCAACTAGTTCCAATTTTCTACCAGAACACCTTCAACGATGAAAACCTAAGCGTATTACTAAAAATAAAATAAAATAAATTACAATTAAAGCAATGTATAGTAACAATTTATAATAATTTATTTAACGCTCCGAAGGAAAATAGTACTGTGAATTCAGTGGAAATGAAATAAGGGACAATACTTAAATACCTAATACCTACTATACTACAAAATATAGCAATAAACAATCGAATTACTTAAATATAATTGATTTAAGACGACTAATGGAATGGTGAAATAATTCAAATTATTTAACATTATTACTATTTATTAACATTCTGTTAGTAAGCCAAAATGGCTATAATTTGGACGTTGCTAAGTAGTAAAAACGGAACGTTGTTCGTATATTATAAAATGCTGAATTTTTCTAGTAATTAGTATATTACTTAGTAAAATAGGCTATCTAAACCGGGATTTTAGATAATTTTGGGCCCTGTGTCAAACAATTTTAAGGACCAACAAACATATAATTATAATACCGGTGACTAACACCACGAATGAATAATATTTCAGATATAAAAAAAATTATACTTAGACACTTTTTAAATAAAAAAAAAAAAATACATTTTGCAAATAATATTTTCTCGATTTTTTGGAAACAAACTCTTCAATTATTTCATTGATATTTATTATATTATCCGAAATATCGCTTTGAGGACATACTGCCATTTAGTTAAATTTTTCTATAAACTGCTTGTCCTGCACTTGTTTTTATATTATTATATCATAGGTAACGTACTAACCACCAGGGGCCCATTTTTTTCGAAATTCTTGGTGGGCCCAGGTCCATGCCCCCCTCTCTTCCACCCTGAGGCTAATGCCTTAGAGTTATTTTTTCTCATACAATGATTGATCATTATTCATTATGAACACATGCAGTACATGTTATGTGTGTCACTTTGTACAGCAGAACGGTTACATACTTTGTTTATTTTTTATTTTATCATTCTCAACGTTAGTATTTACTTTTGATGAGGGCTCAAGAATTATAGTACTGAAGTCGAAATAACACAGGTTTTTATAAAATAACAATGTTTATGAAAAGTACATTTTACATAATATATTATTTATTGGTGTATATAATAAATTGTCTTGATATTTTCAGTTTGTATAATAATCTATAAGCGACTTAGTATAATATGTTTGATTGTTTGAATATTGAATGGACTATGAATCACAAAGTTATAACAGTAACGATAAATACAATATCAAATATAATATGTACAGTGTATTTAGGTATATAAAATATATACACACTAATATTATACCTATAAATACTTACTCATACTATATATCCGATATCTAATCTGCATAAGCTTAGTGATTGTGGCTGCAGACGAGATTCGTTAGCAATCTAGGTATATCGGCTATTTGAAACTGGTTTACAATACTATTATATACATAATGGGCGTATATATCCAATTTATATTGATTGTAGTACTCAGTATTATAAATAGATTATAAATTCAACCGAAAAATTATGTTTTATCAATTTTTTTCTTATTAAAAATCTATGTGCATTTATAAAAAATTAATACAAATCATGTTTATAATAATACTTAAAATAATTTAATAAATTAAATAATAGCGTAAGAAAAGTAAGAAAATGAATTAGAAACTTTGCAGTTTTAAATATTCCATCGAGAATTGAAAATACTCACGACTTGTCAGAAGTTGTGGTATGTGAATGTATGTGTTCCTAAAAGTAAATTTTTTTCATTAAATAATAATAAATCACAGGATTTATTATTTTTTGATACGTTGATTTGAATATTAATAGGCAATACCTACGTCTTGACAATAAAATAATAAAAAAAATGTATACAAATTAAATCACAGAAATGCTCACATTGTATTATTTCATGTAAATTATTTAGTAATTACTAATTAGTACCTAGGTATATTAAAATAATAGCTGTTCACGTAGTTCACAGAATATTCTTGCATGCAAACCGGATAATATTAATATATTATACACTGTACCTTAAGATGTATTCAACATATAATAATAGTACATTAGTGTACACTCACACACGTGTGCACTCGGATGCATAAATGCATCATAATAATATCTAAGGTATAAAACTAATAATAATATTCAATATAATTCGTTTAAAACAGCATTGGTCGACGCGGCTAATATATATATATACACGCACACACACACACACACACACACACACAACACTCACACGTGTACAAACGCACAGACTCACACATACGCACACATACGGCCGCCGCCGTTATGCGCTTAGAATCCGCCCGTGACGTGTTACGGCGCTAGTGTAGACCAATGCCAGCCTGTTGCACCGTCCGTGTGCATGGCACTGCAGTTGCATTAAGTTACCCGTTCTAGTCTCACCGGACACCGCCGCTGCTCGCGAGACGACGCGGACACGCCGCTCTCTTCCATAATCATGATATTATTATTAATATAATATAAACGGAAAAAAATTGTTCATTACTATTTTTAATTTTTTTTCTTGCTCGATCGGTTTAAATCTCGCGCACACCGGCTTCGTACTCTACTGATGAATATAATATAATATCATAGTATTATGTGCATAATTGCACAATACGTGTAATATATATATGCAAGTATATCGCATACGTGTATAGTACGGCATGCACGTGCTTACGCAGTATTATACATGCAATTTTTAAATTTGAACCGTACCGACCGCAACTGTTACTATTGCACCGCCGTTTGTCGAGGAGGGCGACGCGCGCGCGCGTACCGATACTATTACACTGTCACTGCAGGCGGCGAGGTCTACATCACAATAACAATACTAATATAATATTTTATTATTATTATTATTATTATAACTATTATTATTGTTATTATTTTATTCCGATACGACGTCCGAGTGATTGTTATTATCATCAGTACTGTTGCCGTTGCGCTCGGTCTGCGTGTACGTGGCGGTCCCGGAAAGGAGCGAGCGAGTACGCCGCGTTGCTCGCGTACAGCCGGCGCCGGACGTACTGAGCGTCGTTCAAAGCGCGCGCGGTACGCCGGGCCGCTAGTGGGGACCCGCCACACGGGAAATCACGTGGCTCGCTGCCGGCGGAACACGTTTGTGCACAAATATCGCGGCGGTGGTGCGTGCGTGAGTGCGTTCCGTGCGTACGCGCAACCGCGTTTTCGCCATCGGTCCCAGCGACAACCGAACAGCGGCAGCGGTAGCGAAGGCGACGGCGGCATATGCGACCGTGATGGTGACGGTGCTGCAGTTGTGTCGCACATGAACGCGACGACTGCATCCGGCCGGAAGCGCACTCGTGCCGCGAGCGACCGCGCGGACGCTGACGGAAACACGGACACCGACAGAAAGGACATAATAGGACCGCGCCCGCGTGTATCAGCCCCTTACCCGGAAATGCCGGCCAGCAGACATCATCATCACCATCAACACCAGCAGCAGCACGTGCAGGTGGTCACTTCCACTGCGGCCGCTGTGCCGCAGCAATCCGTCAAGGAGAAGCAGCGGTTGTGCACCAACTGCAAAAACCACGGGCTGCGCAAGGTGTGGAAGAAGCACAAGCGGTACTGCAAGTACCGGGACTGCCCGTGCCCCAAGTGCATGAAGACGGCGGCCACGCGCAAGAACTGCGCAGAGCAGACGGCCAAGCGACGGGCCCGGCAGGAGGACGAGCAGCGAGAACAGGAGCTCCAGCTGAACCCGGCCAACTTCCTGGACGAGCGGCCCATACCGTACCAGTCGGACGCCACCACGCCCCAGTCGTCCTGCAACAGACAGAACATGAGCGAGTCCTCGCAGGTCGGTCGGTCGTCCACCCCTAAGGGTACGATGTCACCCCGGACGTCCGATTACGAAGACCACGACAGCTCGTCCATAGACATCGGTGACGGCTGTGACGGCGTGGTCGGCGACGGTGGCGGTGATGGCGGAATGGTCGTGGACGACGGCGTAGACAAAAAAGACATCGACGCAGGTAAGCAACAGTTATGATGCGTTCACGACATATAATGTTAATATTATAAGGGGCCAACAGCCTTATTTTTGTGGTCATTGCAAAAATAACTTTACTTGGGTAAACTTAATTTCGATTCATATGCTAAGAATTAATATTATCATATAGTGCTCTAGGGGCGAGTGTACGCGGCTGTTATTCGGATACGAATTTATACAATTATTTATTTATTATTTATCGTACGGCTATTTATAGAATATCCACACCAACGTATAACTTTTTTCCCGCCTTTAGTGAATATATTTTTCCATCCTCGTGACCGTAGTTTTTGCTGGTACGATTATAAATTAATTTGGAATAATATAAGTTTGAATTATAAATCGTTGTATAACATCTAATAATCCCGTGAAATGACTATATTATTATGATTCACGCAGGAAACTACGTAGAGGTCATTGACGATTGTATTCTCAAATCAGTTTTGTGATCCACTTAACGAAAATTAACGACTTAAAATAAAGACAAATAGTAATAATACCAAAATATGTATACACATTAAATAAGAGAATTGTGTGACTGAGTGGAAAAGGCGGCGGTGTTGTCAAGCACCTCGACGCTTCAAACCCGGTACCTCCCGGTCGTTCCCTAGTGCAGAAGGAAAACTACTATGCTTACTCTTCACTTGTAATAACAGTTAAATTTTAAGAGAAATAAACTATTGTGAAGTTTATCTGGTGGTTATAAAATAAAAGTATAGGCTATAAGTACAAAGACACAGACAGTACATAAACTATATAATACAAGAGTACTTTGAATCTCTTATAATAAAAGTTTCCAAGTAATATATATTGAAGATGTTAAATTCATTTAACGGGAAATTTTATAATTTAAAAATACTAATTAAGAACGAAACTGCAAGATAACGAAACACAAAAAAAAATCTAAAATAAAATGCCATACATATGTTGTATAATATCTTTGTCATAATATAATAAAATATAATATTATAAAATTATATTGTATGTCTTATGTATATTCTATTCAAAAGTATTTAAATATTTAAGACAACTGTAACATTTAATAATACCTGTACTTCAGAAATATCCGTTAAATAATTTTCTGACAAGCAGAAATTGCCAACTAACATCACATCTTTATTTCATCGAAGTTCTTTCTTAAACTATTCAAATTTATTTTCTTCATGTTATGTGATATTTTTATTTATTTTATATGCAGTATATCAATAGTTGAACTAAATTGTATAATTGTCTACAGGATCAATATAAATGATGATAATTATATACATTTTCGGCGTAGTAGTTGTTTACCATTTTTTTCTTACACGCACTAACAATTTTGGACTAATTCATTGTATAATATTGTAATATAGAGTTTCAATAAATATCGATAATAATATGACAACGGCGTTTTAGTGCACTCAAACCGCAATAAATAAAATTGTACTTATACGGCACATTGCACAATATCTATTATATTGTAACTATAATGAGCTATAATTTATAATTATGTTGGAGAAACATTTTCAAACTTCAAATGTAATCATTAAAAATTTTAATTTAAAGACAATGTTTTCTAATTTCTGTCACCAATTTTATTATATTCTCAAAAAATCATAAAAGTCATGGATAGGTAATAAAGCTGCACGATACTTGTAATATAGAATATAGGGTCAATAATTTTTATTTGGTCTACGATTATAAAATTGAAATATAATATATTATACAATTAATGTGTGTACATTTTGACATTTAGTTTCCTCTTTATTATAGCATTTAGAATAAGAAAATAGATTGGGTATATTATTTAAAATATACTAGCTGATCCCTTGAACTTTGTTGCCCGTTAAAAATGCCAACTCTGTAGGAGACTCGATGGTGATAATGCGATCAGTATATATTAGCCTGCCTGCTGTGGATTGCGGGCCCCGCGTTTGACGAGTACTTCATATCAATAATATGTTTTATTTTTATTTTGATTGCGAGCACGCCGATGAGCGGCTATAAAGTGCAACTCAGCCACCTTGGTAGGCAATGTGTGAAAATTCAATTATGTATATGTTCATACCTGAACTGTCCGATGAACCACTGCAGGCAACCAATAAACAAACAAAAATACCAATTTCTACTAAATATATTTAAATTTCTCCTAACCAATAGCAACAGTATAAAAACAAATATTTCCTTTGTAAATCTTAAAATCCCTGTTTGAGAAACTCTCCGGGTCGGACCTATGGGGTCCAATTGTGAATCTAAACCATCCAAGGCTTCACCAAAACGCATACAAAAAAATTCATTCAAATCGGTCCAGCCTTTTAAGAGGAGTTCAGTGACATACACACGTGTAGTAGAATTATATATATAAAGATAAATATGAAGTCTTTACAGAAAAATTGATGGGGAAGTGGTTAGAATTTACATTTAAATCCTAATGGGTAGGTATAATTTTACAATTGTTACATATTTTATTTATACGAAAAATAAGAAATATAAGTTGCCCAAACATAGTATTCTAGGAAAAATGACTTACATGTCAAATTTATAACATAATCATTGCTATGCATTTTTATTAAATTATATTTTTCTTGGCGCCACTTTGATTTATTGAGGGGAGTAATCAATTTATTGATTTTACAATGATGTACCCATGAATTTTTATGTTTTTTTTTTATTTTTCATTTTTCACTTCGATTTTTCTATAGTATAGGAAAGTAAAGCTAGAACTCAAAAACTGTTAATTTAAATGATGGAAACATTTTGCTATTACTTAGTTTATCATTTTCTAAATGCAATTTAAAAAAACTTAACTAATTTTATGAACCTCTCAAGCTCTTTTTTAAAATTATATAAACTTTTTTTTTAAGTCAAGGTAAAAATGTTTAGCTTCGGTCGAAAACTGAAAATGTGTGAATAGTCACCACATACGTTACTGTAATATCTATTTAAAAACATTTATAGTATATAAGAACGATTTTTTAAAAAAGTATCTTAAGATCAAATTTTTACAAAATTTTTAAAATCACGAATATTTGCAAATTATGGAGTATAGTATAGCATTCCTGTGTACTCCGAGAAAGTCCTAAATTTACGGTTTCTAAACTTCTTTTAATACAACCATGCAATAAACTATAATATTGTATGTTGTTATAAAATATATTTTACAATAATTTATGTATTAACAATTATTAAACTATATATCGATTACTAATGAACGGACGGAAATAACAGGAATATAAGATGCTCTAACCTTAAGGTTTATGAACATATTACATTTTATATTTTAACAAGTTGTTTTTACTGAAACCTAAAAATCAAAAAAATATTTAAGTAATTTTTTTTCAAATACATTTCAAGTTCAAATTTGAACAACATTAGATGTTTAAACAATGAATAACGAGTTTAGTTATTTTATTATAGTAAACAAATATTATTCATAGGGACTGATTCGACATATTTACGTACTTATATGAATAATTTTATATACCTACCTATGTTAGCAGTTATGTACGAATAACATAATGGCATTTTGAAAATATTAAGATTAATTTTAAGCGGTTACCTGCTTATATCGCCGCCTTATCGATATATTGACTCAAAAGTTATAGTGATTTATAATTTCATCCTAATATACACTTATATAATAGCTGGTAGTACTATAATATGTGCTACGATTAAAATTAATTCAACACTACTGTTTTACTATAATAGTAAAATAAATAACTGCGGTAGCAATATATAACCTATATTCATATAATAAAGTAAAAATATATATTTAGTAGTATAAAGGCTGACAGACGATCTGCTCAGAATCGTTTTTCGCATACAAAAATTTATAATTGAATTCAAATTAAACACATAACATATCCATTACAGTGACCTACACAATGACCAATAAATAAACTTGACTCCAACTGTTTTACAGCAGAATGAGTTTACCTATATGTTCATATTTTTTTTTTCATTAAGATTTTTATTATTTTTGTAGTTAACAATTTATTTCGAAGTAGGCCCTTTAATCGCACATAATAATATTGTGTATGGTAAAACTATGCATTTTTTTTTTCAATGGTACTAAAATGGTTTATATTTAGGTGAATATTATCTAATTTAATAAAGTGTTTGTGAAACAATCAGCAATACTTATACACAATTATTTAAATACCTAAAGAATGTAGTTTTTGTTTGCACAATATACCACAATTGTTGTGCAAATGTAAAAATAAACGACAACAGCAAAGTTCAGTATTCTTATTCCAATTTATTTTTTAAACGATTTGTTCAATAATAAGATTGTTTAGTGAAATTTTAAACGTTATATTATTTAAGATTAAATGATTATTAAAAATTCATAAATATTATTTTATAGTTTTTTGTAAAAAAATTAATGTATAGTTGCTTTTTAACTAGTATTGTCGGTAAATATATATTCTTTGTGATGAATGTTGTTCGGAAATAAGCGGAAGAGTAACTTTTAATGTAGACTGTTGTCAAATTGTATATGTGATAATTTTCGATTTATATCGGGGCGTCGGTAAAGTTGGAAACAGAAGAGGAAATATGAGAGTGACGGAGAGAGAGGCATGTGTTGGCTATTTATACTTACACATGGTCGTATACAGAATGCTGCAGTGATTCTATTCCACGGTCAAAATTATTAAAGTGTCTTGCGAAAAAAATAATGGCGCAACGGTTTTTTACTATCACCTAAGTCTTAAACTACCTACGTCATGATATGTACTAGTCCGAAAATCCACTATAATAGCTTAATCTATTTTTGTTTCAAATTACACTACGTTCTTCATTAATCGAGTTTATTATAAGGCATGTGCTAATACGTAAAATAATTAGAATAATCTTGAAGTGTAATGAAATAGTTAAGATAAATAACTAATTGGCTAAACATCAAATTTGAGACAAGGAAGTAAACAGAAAACGACATCCCTTTTTAAATAAACAAGTAACAACGTATAGACTTGACTTCCGTTACGACGAATTCAAAAAAAT